AAATACATAAATACTTATACGAGGACTTTTTGCCTTGGCAATGCTATTTGCAGCACTTATTGCCTTAAGCAGCAATCAGATCTGTTAATAAAGAGGCTTCATTTGAAATGCATTTGCAAAGCAGCTACAAACAGCTGAAACATGTTCTGAGCTGAAAAGGAAGGAATTGCTCTTGCTGCTTGAAACAAAAAGGCTAACAAGTATCAAAGGGGCCAGCTACTCTGTGAGAGAGGACAGGGATGAATGCTCCATTCTCCCAAAAGAGAGTTCCCTATTCACGTTAATCAGGTAAAATGCTGAAAAAAAGGAAAAAGAAATCTTGTGATAGAAAGAATTTCTCCAAAATCAATGTGACTCTTAATGCTCTGTCTGTACAACACAGAGTCTATAGGAACAAAGTGAACTATGACAAAGAAAACAATCGGGAACAAAATACTGCTTTGGTATGTATCCAGACCAATTACTGCAGTGCTGTGCAGGCATCTCTAGATATGGCCCTCTACAATCACAATGGAGCAGCCTCACTTTCACAAGCCCTTGTCCTCATGGGGCACTTCAACCACACCAGTATCTGTTGGAGGGACAACACAGCAGGGCATAAGCAACCTTGGAATGCACTGATGAGTATTTCCTTCCCATGAGATAGGAGAGCCAAAACTCTCAAATCTCACCAATAAGGAATGCCTGGTGGGGAATGTGAAGCTCAAGGGGAAGCCCTGACTGCAGTGACCATGAAACGGTGGAATTCAAGGTCCTTGGGGCAGCGAGAAGAGCACTCATTCTCCTGGACTTCAGGAGACCAGCTTGACAGAGTACCATGGCATAAAGCCCTGGAGGGAAAAAGAGGCCCACGACAGCTGGTTAATACTCCAAGCTTAATGAGGAAGTCAGGCAAAAATACCATGAGGTCAGCACGGAGGAACAATGACCTTCTGGCCAAACTAAACAACAAAAAGGAAGGCTAGCAAGAGTGGAAGCAAGGACAGGTAGCTAGGGAGGAATACAGAGATATTGTTAAAGCGCCCAGGGATCAGGTTAGGAAAGATAAAGCTCTCATAGAATTAAACCTGACTGAGCAACAAGAAAAGCTTCTATAGGTACATGTGCCCACTCTCCAGAACAGAAGACTGGTTACACAGCTTACAAAGAATGCTGAGATACTCAACAACTTTTTTTGACTGAGTCTTCATCAGCAAGTGTTTCAGTCACACTACCTGAACTGCAGAAGACAAAGGCAGGGACTGACTAAATGAAGAACTACTCACTGTAGGAGAAGATCAGGCTCAAGAACATCCTAGGAGCCTGAAGATGCACAAATCTATAGGACCTGATGAGATACATCTGTAGGTCCTGAAGGAACTGGCAGATGAAGTTGCTAAGACACTACCCAGCATATTTGAGAAGTCATGTCAGCCTAGTAAAGTTCCCATGGAAAACAGGGAACATAATCCATAACTCATTTTCAAAAAGGAAAAAAACCTGAAGGCCTGGGGAACTACAGGTCAGTCAGTCTCATCTCGATGCCTAAGATCATGCATCAGATCCTCCTGAAAACTATGCTAAGACACAGAGAAAATAAAGAGGTGATTGGTGACAGCCAACATGGTCATTAATGGCACATTGTGCCTGCAAATCTGGTGGCCTTCTATGAAGGGGCTACAGTACTGGTCAATAAGGAAAGAGCACCTGACATCATTACCTGGACTTGTGCAAAACATTTCACATTATCCCACATGACATCCTCGTCTCTAAACTGGAGACCACTTAGTGGATAAAGAATTTGCTGAATCACCACACTAAGAGTTGTGGCCAGCAGGCTAAGAAGTGTTGGGGCTGTGCAGCCTGGAGAAATGAAGGCTCCAAGGAGACCTTCAAGAACCTTCCAGTACCTAAAGGGGACCTACAAGAGAGGTGGAAAGGGACTTTTCACAAAGGCATGTAGTGACAGGACAAGGGGAAATGCCTTTAAAATGAATGAGGATAGGTTTAGATTACATAGGGAAGGAATTCTTCACTATAGGGGTGGTGAGACATGGTACAGGCTGTGCAGAGAAGCTGTGGATGCCTCATCCCTGGCAATCTTCAAAGCAAGGCTGGATGGAGCTTTCAGCAACCTGGCCTAGTGAAAGGTGTCCCTGTCCATAGCAGGGGGGTTGGAATTGGATGATCATTAACATCCCTTCTATGATTTTATGATCCATGGCCCAGAGAGCAATTCCATTAATTCTGAAGCTATAAGCAATATAACCATACCTGTGAAGCAGCATGCTCACACTAAAAGACCTTTCCCTGCCCTCACAGAATGAGAATGTTTTGTCAGAAATTCAGTAGTCATCATTTATACCTTATTTTTACTACTGAGGTGAAGAGAAGTGTTAAGGGAATGTCCTGTACCAAGGCAGAATAAAGGATTTCATTTGCATCTAGGTGTTTAATTGACAGGCTCTCCCACACTAAAAAGAAACACCATGAATGGAGAAAATTATTTTGGCTTACTTAATATGAAACTTCAGTCCTTGAACAGTAATTCTTAACAATGAGTGGTGCTAGGTTATTAATAAATGCCCCCCCTTTTTTTTTTTTTTGTAGAGAAACTGTTTTACTATGTTGTCTCACTCTAACTCATTTCTGACTGAGACTCTTTTCATAAAGAGTCTAATTCTTGCTTCACATAAGTAAAAACTTCATACCTGTTTCACAAAGGAAAGACACCATTCTTCACATGCATTATTGGCAGGATTTAAGAACTTATCTTTACTTAAAATCAACAGCCAAAAAAAGCCTTAGTATTTTAATTATACCTGATAAGTCTTCATCAGTGTAATATTTAGCAAAAAGCACACACTCACAAAAATTAGTATCAAGGCAGATTAGCTGTTTTATATACCTGTACTCTTTATCCTGCCTCCACAATTGATTGGATTGCCCCAGGGCTACCTTTTGATCAGAAACAGAGGTATTGGTGCGTGTATAAAGGAAGCAGCTGTGAGGCTTATCATGAACCATTAAGCTTGGAAGAGTGTTTACATCCCACAGTACAGATTCAGCTTCAGTGATAAAAACCATTCAAGATTTTACCATACATGACAAGCTACCAAACCCTGGCAGGGACTCCTAGTAACAGTGCCTCTACGCTTCTATTTTCCTTTCCAGTATTTTTATTATCATCCAGAGATGAAATTCTTTTTAATATTCTGATAAGCCTAGTGAAAGACTGGAGACTCACAGTTTCTCGACTTCTGTATTTTAGAAAATATCTTTGCACATGTGAAACAGAGACCCATATGGAAACAATTTTTTCTCATAGTTCTCTGGTTGTATTACACAATGTCACTAAGTTTCAGCTGCTTTTAAAATATAATCTAAATATATTTATGCATTAATAAAATGATTGCCTCTTCCTTTTTTTTTTTTTTTTTGTGAATGACAAGGACATTTTTGATTAATTTGGAAGTGCGCTTCACATATGTTTGCTCCCACCATTCTTCCCAATGCATCAGTTTTTGTCCACTGCCAGAGACAAAGTAGAGATCTGGTCTATGCAGTACAGCTGCGCTTTTGTTCATTTCTAAATAGAGCTAAAAACCCAAATTCCATATAAATTTCTCTTTGATTTTGTTGTCTTTCAGAGCAAATGTTTAGGCTTCATCACATTTCTAGCTATGTAAGTATTTTTTTTTCTGAAGAGAAGCATTTAACACACTCTCCAATGTTGTGTAGATACAGTGCTGACTCCACCATGAAAACTGCAGGGTCAGAACCACTGTTAAGGGAGCAGAAACAACTTTCCTCTCAGTAGTATCAAAATAGCACTGGTTTTGTGCTGCTGCAGATTTCAATATAGCTGGGAAATAAAAAATAATATTGTTTACATCAGCATAAAATCCAGTCTTCAGTATGCAGCCAGCTGCACATAAAATGAGGAGAAACATGAGCAAAAGTAAGCATTTATTTGAATCAGGTCTTTAGCAACCACATAAATGTGCAGCTTGAAGTAGTGTTGACAGACATCTTTGTCTCAGGGCAACCTGTATTTGTAAAGATCCTTCTTAGCAAAAGGCAACATATCTAAAATCAGACCTCTTGACACAAACTTTCCATGCTTACTGGTTTTAAAGAAAACAGTGAAAAAATCTGCACTAGCAGAATTCATTCAATGATCTGTGAACTGATTATTACACAACCAGTCCACTATTGCTTTTGGGTGACTGTACACACATGAAGAAAGACATCATTTTATTTCTAGCTGGGGGGAACGCATCTTGTTAGCGCCTATTCATACAGAAAAGCAAACAGGTAACTACATTCTCTAGATGTGATTTGCTAATTACAGAATTAAATATAATCCTTTTAAAATACAGCACACTTCAGGCCTTTTCTTAATGCTGTCAGGATGATTCCAATGTCATTTGAATTTACTTGCTTATTTGGTTTTGCCCGTTTCTCCTAGCTCATGCATTGATGTGTCTCGCAAATTTGAAGTGATTTGAAATTTTGACTACAGGTTTTAAACATTACCAAAGACTGCAACAACATTTACCTTAAATATTTCACATGCTTGCCACTCCCACTTTTCCTTTGATTGCAACTTCATTTGTTAACAATCTGTCTATTACTCTCTAGTGTTTCCTTTGCACAACTTGTTCTCACAACATGGTTGTGATCTTCACACAGTCATATTCCATGCCTAATGCTATGTTGCCATCTGTTGACCAATTGAGCAGTTGTAGGATTAAGACTGAGACAAGATACTCAAGAACATAAATAAAACCTCAAAATTGTTTTAAATCTCTATTTCTTTATCTCTAACAAGGTGATTTAAAATCATCATCTGTTTCCTTAACATTTACTAATTTAAAGGTATTAAGTCTTCAAATATAATATTCATACAGCAATATATGACATGCATCAACTCAATGGCTCAAACATCGCATTGTGGTGCTGATTTAAGAAATTATATGGATATAACAATTTCAAATAGTCACTAATTAGTGACTCACCTTTGAATCATCCAGTTCCAGCTTTTTCAGAGACCGTCTGACATAATCTATGAAGGAGGATGATTTGGAGAAGGTTTTCCCAACATGTCGATCACTGCAAATACAGTATTGAGGTGTAGGCTTTTATACATCCAACAACAAAATTCAGATATTTTTAACAGGAGAAATAAATCAGTTGGATGGCTACTACTGCCAAATTAGTAACAACTTTCCTTTTTCCCCCCCTTCCACTTAAAACAATCTAGCTAATACTTGAAGTAGCTTCTAGACACAGCAACTGTGTAATTGTATTATGGTTATAATTCAGTTATTATTTTACCTGAAATTTTGAGAGATAGTTGAAGTTTCTTTTTTATTTCTTCACTAGCATTTTTATTTCCTTATATGAATGACAAAATTATTATTCCCAATAACAGACATTTCCTTCTACACTTCTATATTACTTCCATAATCTACCATGACGCTGCTGTAATTTACTTAACAGCAACCACTGGACTGAACAAATGCCACTTTTGCTGGTTACCTGGTGTTCTTATCCTTTCAATTTTTATTGCACTTAATGATGCCAGAATTCTGTCCCGTTCACAACTAAATAGCTTGCATTTCAAGACAGATGAAAATGTGTGTTGTTTCAAAAAATATGCTAAAATAATGTACAAAAACATAAAAAAATATAGAAAGAATGAATCCTGGCAGACCACTCATATTTGCTCTCTTCTCTGTGCTTAAAATATCTTGGAGAAACAACACAGAAAGTTTTTTTTAAGTCTGAATTCACTTTCTTGACTGAGTCTAACATTATTTCTCTTCTAAAGTAGGAGTTAAATATTCAGGTACAGAATTTTTAGCTACTGAATTACTTAACAAGAAACACACTCTCCCCACATCCTCCCATTGAAAAACTGAATAGAAGTATCTTAGTTTAAAGCTTTTCTCCCTCTTTATTCTTAGTAAAACCTATCTCCTTATCTAAACCCCAGAATGAACATCTGAAGTCAATAGAAAGATTTCAAAATATTTCACTCAGTGGCAGTTCTAATGCTGTTTAGCTGTCAAGGACCCTCACTCATTGAGAATAATTTCTACTGTCATATTTAATATTCAAATGCACCTAAACATTTAGGCTGATGCAGACTGGGAATCAGTTAATCAGTAGTGTTGTTACGTCATTCGTAGGAGCATGGGCATTTAACATCTTGCTCACAAAAAAAAAAAAGGGGGTGGGGGGAGAGACAGGTCTTTCCAAGGTAGCCATTGTGTTCATTACAGACATATAATCTTAATTACTTCCTCCAAATTATACTTCCTTCAAAACTTTAAAAATGTACCTCACAGTCTCTTTTCTTTGCAATTTAGCAGCCATGACTTTTTGTGTGATATTTTATGTAATTTTAAAATAAAGAAGCATTTCTTCTTTCAGGAATTTGACCTTCTGAAGGGTAAGCTGTCTGACTCTATATCCAGCAAAAGTTTTAAGGATATTTCCATTATCACTTATTTTAGATCAGGAGTATACTTCTGAAGTGAATTTTCTGGTTTTTCCCATCTCTCATGCCTTGGCTCACACCGTGAAATAGTATCAGAGCTCAAAAAATGGGTTATTTTCAAACTGAATTAAACTGGAAGGTGTGCTTCTGAGTGTGCTCCAAGTGCTAACAGGCATACATCCCACGGAATAAGATAAAATCTAATCCAACTGCAACCACAGAAGAGTATAATGTAGATGTCAGGTCCTCATCAGCAGCTCTCCAAATCCCATTCCTACAAGGAAGCCGAATTTGCCAATGAAGGCACAGGCAGTGAGTAGCTCTTGAGAGCATGATGGCCATCAGGCTGTCAGCAGCTTTTCTCAGGACAAACAGAAATACCTTTTTCCATCTGCACTATCAGAGCTGCCAGGACTTCTGCATGACAGGGTATTCCAGTGCTGCTCTGACTTTCCAGTGCATTGCTGAGTGTTCTCAGGTGAAGATGTGCTTTACCCATGTACCCAGTGCCAAAGAGGACCTATTTCAGCTACAGGTAAAGGAAGGGCAATACATTTGTGATGTGGATTGAGGATGAACCAATCTATCTTGCATTTTAATACTGATGTGTATATACAATGTGATGAGACTGATTCCTACATCCTTCTGCTTTACAAAACATAGTTTCTCTACATCACAGAGGTGGAAGAGAATCAGATCCATCTTTGGTTGGTATTCTGTGAATTCAGAGCTTCCTACCTTTTGGTGACACCATAAATTTCTTCTATAATAACCTGAAGAACAGCTCGATAAAACAATGATTCTGTAGGCAGCTGCAAAAAATTTTACAACAGCTAGGATTTAAAATTGGCACTGAAATTAAGATCAGAGTAACAAAACCAGTACTGGCTTCCCTAACTATTTATTGAGTTATATACTTTACAATCAGTCATACCAGATTTAAGAGGATAATTTGCTAATGTTCTTGCATCCAGTTAAAATTATGTTTTTAAGTTAGATTTTAACATAACCATAAATGCAAGAAAGAAGAAAAAAAAACACCGAACTCAGACTCTTGGGATGGAAAGAAAGAAAACAGAGGAAAATGCACTGTTCATGATCTGAATTCTAATATGCAAAATAAACAACAATTATCTAAGTTGTTTTGAAGACAAAAGGAGTAATTACCTAGCTGAATCATCTGCGGTCAGACTGTAGCCTGAACCATGTAGAAAGTACTATGCTAAAAAAAAAAACCTAAGAATTTCATATATCATTTTTCTATGGAAAATATGTTTACATAAAACCAGTTAATGATGGCCAATTAAAAATACACAGAAAAAGACTGCTGGGGTCAGTGGGCTTATTGAATATGGAAAAAAGTCTCTCAGCCTGGCCTTTCAAATACTTGCATAGTTGGTGCCCACCATCCCTTAAGGATAACTTGCACAATAAGAAATCAAAATACTCACAGGGAAAAAAATACACAGGGATTAAAAACGAGAATGACAATGTTTCTAACAGGTTCAAGCTTTTGTCATAACAACGACTATTTTTACATTCGTTGATAAAACACTCGGATAGAGTGATCTAAACCAGGGATATCAGAAGGACATTTGCCCTGAATTTATGCATTAACTGAAAGATAGCAAAGGAAGTTAGGAAGGGTAGTTTAATGCCTTAAATTTTAAGCTGTGCTTTTTTTTCTCAGACTCTTAATTGTAAAAAGAAAACAGATTCACTAAGTACAAGCAGAGCAATAAAAATGTGATTTTGTGATGACACATGCAATCTATCAGGATTAGACACAGCATAGGCCAGTATTTCAGACTCCAGATATGCAGAAGTTCAATAAAAGGCCACGGATTAAGAACATTCAAGGGGGAAAAACACATTTTATCTTAGAATGGTTAAAATAAACAGTATTACTTACCATTTGGCCAACTGCAACTCTCTCCAAAGCCTTTAAGAGTCAAGGAATTAAATTGCTGATATGTTTATTCTTTATCATAACATTTTATAAACACATTGTATAAAAGTCAGAGGAGATGACATTTTAAAAGATTAATGGTGTGACACAACATGAGCTTGCACACTTTAAAGTGTTAATACCTTTAGGCACTCATAAGCAGCTACTCCTGTTATTTTGGTTTATTTATAGGAGAAGCAATGACATCCAACTGTGAGGAAATATATACATGGAAAATTTGTTTGCTTTTCTTTCTATCGTACAAGAATTTCAGAGGATTACTTTCTGTGAAAGTGCTAAAAGCAAATGCATTTTTCTTGAATCTATTTCTACTGAAGTACAAATAATTCACTTTGCATATCTAATTATTTAAAAGTAAATACTAGTTCAGTGGACAATATTAGTTTTAATCACTAGTACTCAGATGAATTGAACTGCTGATACACAGGCAAATAAAGTAACTTCAGAGAGACTGCAGTTTAAAATACTGTGCATTATTTTTCACTAGTCTTCATACTATAAATGCTGATGTAGATGTGAGACTACTTGATTTTTATCATGCATAGTAACAAAGAACAACAAATATTTAGAAGCATGTAATACTCTTTCACAGTTGAAAAAATAGTGTGCCCACAAAAATTTCAACAGAGTTTTACAGATCATAGCAGAAATGAAGACAAAACCTCAATATCTGATTATCTGATACTACATCAAATTAGGCAGCAAACAAAAAATGCCTCATCATTTACAGATTATTATCACCTTTAGCCCCAAACTTCACTACAGTAAATGAGACTGCCTGTTCCTCCTCCTCCTTCTCCTTGTTGTAGAAGTGATCTTGTATTTCACACTGTTCTTCAAACACAGTCCACATAGCTGCAGTTCCTCCCTTCATGGCTTTGGCCAGCTATCGGGTTTGCCTTTTGCTGCATAGGCTCTCACAGCAGCATCTATCTGCTGCTGCCAAGGAGAGGGATATGGGTTTCAAGACTTATTGTAAAGCTCTGAAGCTGGAATTCTTGCCCAACACCTCTGGCCCTTGGCAATTCAACCAATTTGAACTCTGAGTGTCATTACTCAGCAGACTTTCCGCTAACCAGCCAGCAGCCCAAGAAATGTGGGTACTCAGTGACTCTGTGCTGGCTCCCTTGTACATCCTACATGGCAAGGAAAATCCTAGTCATGACAAATGCATATAGACAATTACAAACATAACAGGAGAAGTATCTAGTTACACAGGAGAACTCTTTGCCTTTTGTGAATACCTAGACAAAAAGTTTTTAATTGCCAAATTTCTGTGATTTGTGAGAAATCTAAAATAGATATATGTAGCAAGATCAGTACTCTCTTGGGGGTCATTTGCTTTTAAAATTTATCTTCCTACCACTGCTGAAAAACAGCCCAACCTTTTTTTTTCCAAAAGAAATGAAATAGGAAACAGTTAATGTGTCAGCTGAGGAAGGACTGGTATTGTATGACACTGACAAGAAAAAGAGAAAAGGCAAATCCCTTTAGAAAGTACTTCTGCTGAGTTTTACAGCTACATCTCTAAAATGAACAATTCTTTTCCTTTACTTTGCCAAAGGTAACACATTTAAACCTTATGGATCCTAAACAACTGTCCTCCTATATTTTCTCCTGACAGCATTTAATTATCATGGTAGTTCAAGTTTACATAACCTCAATACATTAGTCCACACTGAGTCTTTAGTCTATACTCTTCTCTGTAATGAAGGTACAGAGCTAGCAGTAGAGCCTAGCCAGAACCTAATGTGATTTATCTGGATACCATAAATTAAAAATTAATAGATGGAAGGAATAATGGTCTTCTAACTGAAACAGTGGTCAAAATTTTCAGTACCTATCTGTTTTTTCCAAAATAGACAACAGCTCATCATCATATCTTGCTGAGGTTAAGTCTTTAAAAGTACTTCATCTCTTGGTGCAATCTTAAAAAGACATTTCCAGACTCTGAAACTACATGGATTTTAAAAGCTCCTCTAGTTTTTAGATTAGGCAGGGTTATTCAAGTTTTAAACAACTAGAACATTCAATACTATGAATCATGAAGGTATTCAGGGAGTTACTGATTGCAATCCTTCTACAATTACCTTGTTTCTCCCTAAGTCCTTGGCCAAGAATTATTATCCTGAGGGGTTACCTTGTTTAGGTTTCAGCAAAGTTTTGGCCTTTCTATCCACTCTTAAAATATATTTCTATCAATACTCATTTTTTCATGCCTTCAGCAAGTATAAAATATATAAAGTTGGAAGGTCAATACTATTTTTTTTAGATAGAATTCATCATGCTTACAACATTAATGATGTTATCCTGTATATTCTTGGATTAAAGTCATGGCTTCAGAATCAGAAGCCAAAAACAACGAATCCTGTAACATCTGGACAACGCTCTCAGTAGAAAAAGAAAGGAAGGGGAATCATACCAAGCATGCGGACATCCTAGCATTGCGGCCACAGCACCAGCCTTTGTCCTTCAAGTACTGACACATGGGAAATCCCCAGACTTGATCGTGGCATTCTACAGTATGGAGGGAAAAAAAGGCACAGCTTTTCCTCTTACAGAATACACAATGGATCGAGCAAGATGAACAGTAGGTAATGTAGTAGAAACACTTAACTGTTCTCATGCAGTACCAAAACTTGTGGTGGTGCTACAAAAAACATGTTTTCCCTGTAACAGATGTTTTTGGTTTATGCTGAATTTCTGATAATTTCACATTTTCCAAAACAATTTTAAGTGACTGTCCTTTACAAAAATCCACTGAAAAAACAGTCAAAGGGAAAAGAGAAAAGTTTGCAGATACTCATGGCAACCTACACCACGCCATGAATCACAAGATGCAGGCCAAGCAGTAATTCCATGCAGCAGGGCTTCAGTACCACATCTCATTGTCTTCTTATTCCATCCCAAACATCTTTCAAACATCACACAGAACAATATGTATTTGTTTATTCTAGTTCTGAAACAACATTCTGCTCTAAGGCAGAATGTCTGTTTTCCAGAAAAGAGCAGCTGCAAAGGCTCTTGCTGTTTCTTCAAAACACCAAGAAGCATTTGCATCACAATCTGTGCTCAGTTTCAGTATCATTTGTATTTTGAATAACAAGACAATTATTCATGTTTAGCACTAATGCAAATGTGGCAAAACTGCTACAGAGATTACTTTATAGATGTTCTTAATAGTCACGTCCAAATGTACACAAACTCTAAATGTTTAGAGTTTTCATTAACACATTGTCAGCTGATTTTTAAAATAGTGAATAAGATTTACTGCTTTCTTAAAAAAAAACAACAACAACAAAAAAAAAAAAAAAAAGAAACCCACAAATTGGCCGAGATCCTGGCTTTTTAGCACAGGAAGGTGACTGGGGCATATTTCAGAAAAAATCATGTAATAGGGTTAAAAAGAGGGGACAGCAGAAAATTTACCAACAGTCAGAGATATATACATATAAGTAGAATTCACTCCATAAAAGTTAAGCAAGGAAAAAAAAAAACAATAAAGAACCCTCCCCACAAGTCATGGGAGGGAGGGAAAGCCTTTGGCTTTCTGGCAGAAGTGCCCAGTCTCAGCTGACCACTAGAGAGTAACAACAAGCAGGCAAGAACCTCAGCAGGCAACCTCACACTTTGCTCTCCTTTCAACCCTGAGGAAAGCCAGAGGCTCTTAGGGGCTGAATACTGTTTTGAGAACTGTGATTTAAGATAGGATTTTAATTATTAGCATTATTAGCAGAAGGAGAAAGAAGATTTTTTAGAAATAAAGATGAAATTTGGCCAAACAGATTGCAAGTGGTTTCAGCACTAGGAATGCACTAAGAATTTGTAAGTGCCTCATGACAAGCTCTAAAATATTAATTAACTTCAAGTCTAATTATGGAGTACATGGAATACATGTATATTTCTGCTGCAGGGATGGCAGTAAGAACTTATTGAGTGCAATAAAACAATGACTGACATGGTTCCTATTGTATGATTCTCACTAATATGTCTTTCTAATATCATTGTTAAAATATTTCAAAATAAAAATTTGCAAACTGAGTTTGAAAGATTAAATCCTTGATATTTTCAAGCAAATCTCTTCCAATTTATACCCTGGCCTCCAGGCAAACTAATCATTCATTCAAGTTAAACTTACTACCCTGTCAGATACAATCTCAATATCAGTGCACTGTATTCATGCATAATTCAAATAATCTTTGGAAAATATTACCAGTCAAAGCACCATCTTCATTTAAATTATTGAAACTGTAAAGTAGGAGAAAAAGAGAGGGAAACTAATGCTTTAAGTTAGAAAGAAATTTTTTGTATATATCAAAAGTTGACCACACATCTATAACATTGCTTTAAGTTCTATTTATTTTTTCACATCAAGTATGGCCTCAAGCACATCTAAAATTTTTAGGATTAACAGATTGCTATAAAGTTCATATACTTACAAGCTACATTTTAAAAAACAAGAATTTTTTTTTAATGTCTACAACCATTTCAGATATACTTAATATTACACAGCTATCTAAATACCTTATTGTGCTTCTATCTAAAAACACAATAGCTGTCCTAAACTGTATAAATCTCAAAAAATATTCAAGAAATATTTTAAGTATATTTAAGCATTCCATAGAACATTTCACAGGAAACAACTCAAGTGTCCAAGAGTGCATGAAGCAACCACGTTATAATTCAGTACAGAGTAGCCAATCAGACAGAATTTCTTTTATGAACAGTTAATAAAATGGAGAATTGTAGGTAATCATTTGATGAGCTGAACTGAAGCTATACTGGTGTTTAATATTAGAAGATATTAATAAAATAGCAAGGACGTTACCTCTAACCTAACCTCTAAAGAAGACTGAATCACAAATTTATTAAAATGCTGCAAATACCACAACAAAACAACAGCATATTTTTTATTGATATGATATTTATTATAAAAAATATAAGGCAATACAAGTAAGATAAAGGTAAAATCCTTTTCATGGTTGCCAACTCTGGATGTGCATAAATGATGACAAGGAAGTTCAAGAGAATGGGACAAGCTTCTCCAATACCTTTAATATTAGGCCATCCATAGATTTTCATCTCTAAGAATAATACTACAATTTTCAGTGGGCTAATATTCAAATTTTACTTCACAAAGCTTTACAGTAAAATATGGTCATTATAAAACAACAGGACCAACAAGCTTTAATGCCATTGGGAAAAAAAAGCCTGACTTAAGTTCTATGGGATGAGCCAGATCAGAAAGGTGTGGGGACAGCAATTTTGGTGTAGCATTGTGTTCCCCTTGGCATGCCTTTTCCACACCTGGTGTCCCTGGAGCTGTAGGGTTTGGCAGAATCTCTGAATCCCAACCCTAAACCCAATGGCTGCTTTTGGTTGATTATCAATTCAATGGATTGAAATGGCATTTTTTCTTCTGAGATTTTTCAGTGGAAATTAATCTTTATTACCTTCCTATTTTTTTTCACATACACCCTACTTTGTTTCCTTATATATATTGTCAACTTCATCAAAGTAGTCCTAAAACACAAATAACCTTTTTCAGATCCTCCATAGCCTCTATCTTTCACAACATTGCAGATTTTCAGTCTACTTCTATAGAAGTAGAAAAAAAAATTATTAAAAAATAGATATATAAATAGACACATATATATAATATATATAATATATTATAGACTTATATAAAATAGACAAAAAAACCCAGATAACTACTAAACTGCCTTTTTCCTTCATGGAAAAGACTAAATCTTCTTTGGCCATACAATTCACTGTTCCTTGAATTTGTATTTCAGTCCCCTGACTAAGGAGGATTTTGCTGGGGGAAGCAGAGGCCAGTGGGGAAGAAAAATGCTCTCTAATTCCAGGAAACAGAATCAGCTGTCACCAAAATAATTTCCAAAACCCAAACCTCGAGTATGTTTTAATTATGAGCATTAAAAATTTGGCATTCTCAATTCTAACCTCATACTTTGCACTGAGAAAAATGCAAATGTAAGATTGTTTCAGGTTTTAATATATTCTTGCTACATTAATTAATGAAAAATACCATAATAACTTCAATAGGTAATACTTCCATTTAACATCTGTAAAGTTTACCTTGTTAGTATTTTTTTCAAGTTTCATATTTTTTTTTTCAGAACTAATTTTTATAGAAAACATCTGGGGTTTAGTGACTAGTTAGCCATGTCACAAATACATGGAAAGGTTCCCTATGCAGCAATATGTAAAGATGCCTTGGGAAGGAAATTAAGCTTTTTGATCTGTTGCTTGGAAGTGTTTTCCTGTGTTGCCATGGTATCAGTGGTAGCTATTTTAAGACATTGGCTGTGGAATATCTTTGAAAATATACCTAGGCTACACATAAATCATCTGTACTCTAATACCCTGAATCAGTGAGTAATCTTTTATATTTGAGTGAAACAGATTGATACAAAGCCATTATATTTGTGTAAGTAATCCTTTAGATAATTCAGTTTTGTAGTATTTGTCCTCTGAATCAAGGCTTTCCCATGTTTCACAAGTCTGATAAAATTTGGTATGTGAATTTTGACTACCCTTTGCAACTCTTTTGGTTCCCTTAATTATGTTCAACAGCTTTTAATAGTCAAAGTTTATTCTGCAAAAGCTTTGCTGACTTCTTCCAGAGTGCCTTATTAAGAAGCTGCTTTCCTCAGCTTCCTGGAGGGCTTTAGAACTCCTCTACCCAGCAGTGACCTGACTTTGTAAAGCCTTACACAATCTGGAATTTATGTTTTGTCATACTTAAGGCAACCTCAAAAAGAGCTTCTATCAGATAGGTATAAATGAAAGTATCTGTACAACCACACCTGTCTCCTATTTCAAATTGCAGAATCAAAGAATATACTGAGTTGGAAGGGACCCAAAGGATCATCAAGATCACCTCTTAGCCCTGCACAGCACCATCCCCAAGGATCACAGCATGTGCCCCAATCACTTCTTGAACTCTGTCAGGTTTGGTGCTGTGACCATGTGTGCTGAGGTCTGCACATGATCTGAAGAGTTAAAACTTCCCCCCACAGGACATTTCCACCTGAACCTGAGCCTTTATTAACCCTTGAAGTGTTTGTTTCATGGCTTCCCCCCCCCCCCCGATGGATCAAGACTGTGACCATCACTTCAACCAATGGACATCTGAAGTGCAAAGTGCTCCCAAAGTGCAAAAACAATGGGTGGTGATATCTTTCCTCTCTGCTAGCTTCTCTAATCATTCCTGTCTCTTACTCATGTATTTTCTTCAATGGTGTTTTCATGCTTTTATAATGTCATATTACTATAGATACTAACTGGAATGGCTGCATTTCTGTTGCAACCAAATTGTTCTAATATATATATATACCTCCACATTCACGCACACACACTTATATATATCTTTTGTTTTGCCCCAAGGGATATATTAAAAAGAATCTCAGTTACCCCATCTCTGTGGTGGGTCTTAACAGTAGCTCCAGAGCAAGAGCAACATTCATCCTCAAAACAGAGGATGTAATACTGAATAACTTCACCAGTTTCTAGACTGGTACTGATGTATTTGGTGGTATGGAGGATGGAAAGAAGAGAATCAGAACACAGAAACCCAAACCCCTTTACAAGGAAAGTAAAATCTTTTTCAAAATATGTTTAATTTTCAATTCTTCTCTGTTTAGGGAAAATCACAGACCAGCTGGTACATTGCCCCAAAAATGTATTAGCTGGATGTAAAAGAAGCTCCTAAAAATCCTAAGAATAACTCCTGAACAGAGACACAGAGTTCATTTTAACCTAAAAATCATTAGCAAACTGATTTTTTTTCCCAGAAAAACTGACATAATGGCTCACTATGTAAATAGGTTTATGTAAAATGTCTCTGATAAATAGTAAAATCCTTTCTACTCTGATGTAATTGACTACCCAATGCAGTAACAGAGAAGAAAACCCCCAAAGGAATCAATTATACTAATGGCTACATAAATTTTATCCATACAAGAATCTCTATATAAACAAGACAATTCTCCTTAGAGAGAGCCAAAGTAAAACTACTTAGAATTTTCCAAGAGCTGTCATATTATTCCTTATTAACTGAAACTTAGAATTTCATACTGCTTGTAACAGCAGTGAAATTTGAAGACAGGTGTTAAAAGAATTGGCTTCAACTTTTTAAAATTGAGTTGAAATTTGATGTTACACAGCATCTCTTGGTTGTTTTAGCCACTAATAAATCAAAGCAAAGGCTTTCATGATCTGAACAATTCAAGATTATTCCCAGCACAATTGGAAAGGTGGTCCCGTTACAAAAATTTCCAGATGAATTCAGCTTATTTAGAGACACAGAAGGACACTGTATACTGATTGCATTATTATTCAAGACTGTGACTGCTGGCACCTACTTTCATCAGAAATGCTCACAAAGTATTCACACCAGGTCCAACAGTAAACTAAATCAGTCAATCTTGCAGTATCTGTACTTTTTTTAGAGTATGTGAGAAATATAATGCATTATTCCCTGAAGTCGTCTCAGAAACAAAAAAAGATCCCAAACTTGTGATAACCAAGGTAATTCAGTAGTCCAACAAAAACACCATAGTAACATTTTGTTGATATTTTGTCAGCTCAACACCTCAGACTTATAAACACTATGTTAGGCATTATAGCAGGTAAATTTTATTCCTATGAATACAAGTTAATTCCAGTTAATATGAAGTGAAAAAGGAATTTTTCATTGGCCTCAAGACTGATCTTGGTATTAAATCTTAAGTGCCAAAGAACATAGTGTCCAGCCACATGAATTTATAGCAACCAGAAGTCCATTGCAGCTCCTCTGCTTCAACTGTGCTTATGAGAAAAACCTTCTGAGTTTACATTAAAGAAACACCAAGATGGAAAATGTGCTACTTTGGGGGCAAGAACTTTGAGGTGGACTTGCTATAACCTTGACTCTAAAGGTGTACACCTCCAGAAAATAAAAAAAGTTTTTAAAGAGAACAAATGACATTTTAAAAACAGATTTTGAAAAACTTTGAGGCTGCTCAGTCAAGATAAAATAACTGTAGAATGCTTTATAACAGAACTTCCCACTGTGTCCTCGCAGGCAAGCCCTTGCTTACTGGACTGATTTCAAATGAGTAAGTCATTTTCTGTGTTGCAGCAAATTCTGCCCAATTCTCTTTGCATCTTAGGAAGATCTGTCACTGCAGAGATTTAGCTCTAAATCTGCTTCCTAATATTCAAACTAGTCTCTCCACACAAAGCATCTACATGTCTCTGCCATCTCTGACTGATGGCCTAGAGCTTTGCTGATTTCAGTGTCAGTGCCTGGGCAAGCAAAGGACTATCTACAGCAGAGATAATACTTGCTGAAGTACCACTCAGGCCGAACAGAAATACACAGCTGCATGTGGCCAGATGGGATGCATTTCAGGACCACATAACTCACCGGTGCCCCATGATGACCATACTCTATCATCTTTGACAGGTGATGTCCATCCTGATTACAGGAAACAGGTGAAAACCACACTCATCTTCACCTCAATAAGCTCAGATAGTCTCAACAAGTTTATGGAGCACATTTTCCTGGAAACCATGCCCAGGCCCACAAAGAGTAAGAAGAAGGTTGACAGTACCTGGCAGGAATTCATGAGGCACTGATAAACTACTGCCTTCTGTGAGACAGTGACTGGCTCCATGAACTAGGGGACAGAAGTCATAGTGTATCTTGATTTTATGATGTCTTTCAGCAAGGTTTATAGACATTTATAGACAAAATGGAAAGACATGACTCAGACAGGAGCATTCTAAAATAGGTAGAAAATCGATAGTAATCTGAAGCTTGACAGTGAAGCCTGCAGATTAAAGGATGTGATTATTCTCCCTTTTTAGCACTTGTGAGAGTATCTGGAGTGCTTTTTTGGTCTCTTCAGCCCACCATAATGACTGAAATGAATTTATTGGTGGCAAAAGCACTCAAAGGCTGCAGAGAAGGTCAGGAAGGGATCTAACTGCTGTTTTCCTAAAGTAAAGACAACAAAAAGGATTAAGCTGAACTATTCTTGGCAGTGCAAAATAAAAAAGACAACAGATAATGCACAAAAGCTGCAAACTCTGAATGGATATGAAGAAAAGAAATTAATGGTGAAGACAAACATTGAAATGGGCTACTGAATCGCTGTCCTTGGAGATATTCAAAACATGAAGGGACAAGACCCTGACTGAAATTATCTAAGCTGGACCTGCTTTGTGCCATGATCTGGTCCAGATTGACCTTCAGAAGTTACTTGCTACTTAAATGCTATGATTTGGTCCATTCTGGAAGCAGTATTAAAATCCAAGAACTTCCAACAGTTGCAGAGGAGTTTGTTTACTGTTTGAATTGTTGGACCAATGCCATCTGATTAGTGACAGAGTCCCCTAGCATCCTCCAGAATGCTTTGTCAGTTTGAAGTCCATGCATAGGAAATGCAGACACAAGATACAGTCTGAATTCTTTCCGATTTTCCATTTGAAGAAATCTTACCTCTTTTGTTCCCTTAGCCCTTCGCTGCACATTTAAGAACAAGCCATATGGCAGATGACTTAGTAGGGGAATACAACAGCATTATACATTTTAGAATATGCACTCTCATACTAATAGTTAAAAAATTATTTTGAACATTAGTAGGACAATATATATATTCTTTCCCCAAAAAAGTATACTGTAATTTCCTTTTGTTCTGTCCAAAATTGCCCTCCTTTGAGAATAATTTTGTCCTTCAAGCAGAGTAAAATCAATTCAATATGCAATTTGACTTCATTCTCATACTGTTATGAAATTGCAGTATCTCTTCTAACCATGTACATATATCTGTTTGTTTGAACTTTGAAAAGGTTATCATGCCTGGTCCTTTGGTGGTGTCTGAGTTTATGCACTGGTCTGCGAAAAGTAATCCTATATAGCTAGCACAGGAAGCCATGTACTCTTTGCAGTAATAAGAAACAACCAAATGTTTCAGATGCTCAGACTTAATGAGAAGTACCTGAAAAGTTTTTAGTTTCTTAAAACTCTGATGTAAAAGTAATTGTATATTTTTTCTCTAACTGCATTTCTGTTGCACAGAAATTACAATTGTACTTTCTTTTTCTTTGTTTTGGAGTGAGGTTAAGTATTTTGAAATTACTAAGACTAATACACTGAAAAAACTCTTAAAATAGTTGCAGAGTTAGTTAAAAACAACATGAAAAGATTATTAAAGCAAGCAAGAGCTAGCATGTGTCATGGTCAGCGTGGAGCTGTGCTGTGACTACTTAAGCAGCTAACTCTTAAACGGCAATACCTGGGTCCCACGTGCCTCCATGTCTGTGAAGTTCCCTGAAAGAGCTGAAGTAAACCTTGCCAAACCACACCTTTTTCAGATTTACTGATATGATGATCAGGTGTAGCATGTCAGCAGATGGTCATTTAGACATCAGCTATGTACCATTTGTCTCAGGAAAGCCAGTTTCTTAAATATTTTTCATTATACACAATTTCAAGTAAAAATACCAACTTTCTCTCAAAAATTAAGCCCCCTCCTTCCCATTTGTAGGAAAATTTGCCTATATTTTGAATCTACAAATAATTTTCCTGTTATCTTCCCAAGAAAAACCCTGTACTGTTTCATGATGGACAAAGACTGGCACAATGCCTAGATGAATGTTTTTTTGAGCATTACCTTACATTACAAAATCTTAATTCTGCTTATTGTTGTATATGTACAACTTAACATAAGTGGATGTTGCACGCAGACAGTGAAGGACAAAATCTGGTACAAAATATTTCAAAAGGATGGAAACATACTGGACTAAAAGAGTCTATACATGTATAAGTGAGTTCATGAAATAAAACCAGCTGTAGTTATAACCATATAAACACACTATGCACTTCTGTCCCTAATCTCAGTAAAAATATTAGCAACGTTGACATAACGGAAAAGCAACAATGCATCTGGGACTGAATGACCCTCATAAAGTAAATAAAACCAGTACTAAATAAGCCACTGGAAAGGAACAAACACAAGGAGGTTATTAATTAAAAGGTATAATACTCTTAACATGCAAAGTGGCAGTTACAAGTTAAGCTCAGAAGAATTACCTTCTTGGTTTTCAAACTGTTCTGACAACAGATGGTAGCAGCAGCCCACACTGCAAACAGCTTTGATTTCAGGCTTGGCAGTAAAAATTCGGAGTGTATTTGCAGCAAGATCTCCACATGTATGTAGACCCACCATCATACAGTCCTAAGAAGAAAAAGAAAAAAAAAGGCAACAATAAATAAACTCCTTTATCAACTGATAGAACACAAATAAAAACAAACTCCAAAACCCAACTATGGTGCAAATAGTGAGCTAAGGTAGAAATACCCAACTCCATGAGGACTCCCGCTGTTCTATTCTAGAATTTTTCAATACTAATCAAAGCTCTTCCGTGCTAAGAAAATGTGGTGAAAACTGGCCATGATGCAGAAGTTCAAGACTATGAGTAACACAGCTGCATGGAAGGGAATATCTACATGTTTACTGGGCACAGACCATTTTCTCCAGTCTTTCCTAGGTTTCCTGTTCTTGTTATTAGTACCACTGCTACTTTTCTTAGTAAAGATTCCGTGCTGTAAATCTGACTGGACCTATCTAAGGCATTTCTGCTAGTTTAAGTTGTTGAAATCAAACCAACTTCCTAAATACAGGTGTAAGGTGAAGAGCAGCTTTTTTATTTCCCAAACAGCAGCACTGACAGTTTCACAGTATGCCCGCTACTATTCAACAACAAATGGGTACTTTCCTTCACAGCACAAAGGAAGAACTTCAGCTTCAGATGCTCTGCTCTTCTGTCCATTCTATTTCCTACTTTCCTTTTTTCTGCAACTTTACTTTTGCCTCCATTTCTCCATGAAAATTCTCTCTCTTCTCAGCATTCATAACAATATATTTCCCTTCTGATATTACTAGTTGGGATCCACATGGCAAACACGGTGTTGCTTTGAATTCCAGACATATGTTACTCATTACTCATAGAATCAAAGTCATTAGGGTTGGAAAGGACCTTAGAGATCACCTAGTTCCAACCTCCTGCCCCACTAGACCATGTTCCTCAAAGCCTCATCCAACCTAGTGGCATCTACAACTTCTTTGGGCATTTTTTTCTGATGTCTCATCACCCCTACAGTAAAAAATTTCCATTTCCTTTTAATATCTACCTAATCTAAATCTACCCTCCTTCATCTTAAGTACATTCCCCCTTGTTATATCATTACATGCCCTCTTAAAAATTCTCTCTCCAGCCTTCTTGTAAGGTCCCATTTAGGTACTGGAAGGTGCTATAAAGTATCCCCAGAGCCTTCACTTTTCCAGGTTACCAACAAGAAATTAGGCCAGGGTCACTCAACTGAGATACCTTTCTATAATTGTTCTGATTTTATCTGATTATCTCACCCACCAGTATTACATAGTGCATTCATGTCTGAAACAGTAAAACTTCTGCTTTCCTCTTTCATGCTCCCTGACAGTATTTTTTTATTTCAAGAAAGGCAGTGATATAGGATTTCCTCCACCTTTAACATTTTACAAATTATACACTAAGAGGATACAAAATCCAGCTGTGAAAATGTATAGGCATATGCTTCATCAACAAACCCTGCTGCTCAGGGTGTCTTTTGCAAACAGACATGAGCTTGCCCCACATGTTCTCAGATACTCAGCTGCATTTATAGCTCAAGTTACAGGGCCATCAGCACAAACCTATGGTATTAAATCAGAGATTATTACACCCTGGAATAAAATAGCTTGGTTACTACTGAACACAGAGAAGTTTTTATCATTCCATAGAAGACTGAATGCATCTACTCAATCAATGTATGTTAGATTAGGCATAAACTAAACATACTACCACAGAGTTTCTAGACTTGTGCCACTGGCAGCTGAACTTGGGCTTGTTTGTGTAGACACAAACCCTACCAGCTAGTAAATTACTAAATTAACTTAAAGTAATTCTGCAAAGCCAAAATAAAATAATTCTTTACAAAATCTTCATATTGAGTACTATACACAATATATTCTCCTATGCCTCCCCAGTATGACTGAAAGAATAAAAATAGCTAACTTGAAAAAGTAAGAACTTTTAGGAAAATTGAATCTCCAATGCCTAATATATGCATTTACCTGGTAAATAATAAATTCAAAATAATTAGATTTTATCTATAATGACAGTTGTAAAATAACTGAATATGCTGTTAACTCTGACAGCTGATTATTATCTACCTCATAAATTCTGAAAACTGATTAAAAAATCCCAACACATATATCAAAATAGAAATACAATCTTTATCTCATAGACATACTTCTGCTACATGGTTAAAAACCATTATTGGGCCAGAATATTCATTTACACCAGAGATAGTACTCTATGTAAACTCAGCAAACATGTACATATTAAAATGGCAATATAAAGACAACAGACAATATAGTAAATAAATATAGTAAATATTTAGAGTAAAATAACCTCCAGATCTGTTATGATGTCAGTGAGTTCTGTTTCTGCAGTGATGCAAGAGGTCAATGGAAAATACAGGTTCGATTCACTTGACTTTCTTGCTTTAGTCTTGAGAGATGTCGTTTTTCTTTGTACTTTTTCCTCTTCACAGAGTTCCCCACAGTTACAATGAGATGAAGAAAAATCTTCCACAGCATCAACAGGAAGAACATTTAGAATAGCAAGAACCTCTTCAGAAAGTTTGGTCTCATGAGATTGTGTCCCAGTCACTAAATCAGCTTTAGTTTCTGTGTTGGTTTTGAGTGTAGCCGTTTCTGTGAAACCACAAGAAGGAACTAAATCTTGAATAATCACTTGGCTCTGATTTGGAAGACTACTGGCATTATTTAAGAGCTCTTTATTGATTGTTTTACAATTAGTTTCATTTTCCACTGGCTTATCATTTGCCATTTCCAAACTCTGTCTTTTGAGGCTTTCTTTTCCTCGACTCTGATATGCTCTCCAGTGTTTCTTCAATTTTCTATTTCTTTCATGAGCACCATTTGTGTTGGAGCTTGAGGAGTCAATGCCATAAACTTTGAAGTTATATTGCATGGACAAAAACGAACTCAGGTAGCCTTTCCCAGAACCTATATCAATCACCTAGATAATGGAGAAAAAATAAAGGAAAAGAAAATTGCTATATTAATGAGCAACAAGGCACATTTTAAGTGCAAAATTATTCCCTAAAAATTTAAGCATAGGTTGAGTGGGTACCTTATTAGCATCATACTTCTCAAAGCACTTAGTTCTTTTGTTTTGTTGGTCCACCTTTTGACTTTAAAACACAGAATTAAGTTTTAACTGATGTGCTCCAGAACACAGACACTGCAATGTTTATGCAATTCACATGCCCTGCTTCTTGTAAAGACTTTCGGTACATTTTTTGACACAGACCTTTCTTCTGCCAAAAAAGCCCAAAACCATAAACCACCAGCAATTCCACCTGCCCTTGCTAAACTGGGTCAGAGTTAGCAAATAAGCAGTTCACAGTATTCAGCTTTAGGCACCTAATTCCCACACTGAGGAGCCTATAACCAGTTGGTGTACAGCAAAAAGCATCTTTGGTTTCAGTGCTTAATTTAATCCCTTCAGATCTGACCTAAAGATGGATGATATTGATACTCTTTTAGGTCAGGATGCTTGTTTATTCTGCTTTCCCATTCTGTGAAAACAATCCATACAGCTTTATTTAACGTGAGGATGCTTTTCTAATAAACACAGAAGCTCATAAGCCACATGTACTTTCCACTGCCCATTCTAGAGGAAGGAGTGACAGGTACGACAGGTACCAGTTTAATTTGTGTCATAGCTGATATCATGTGCTAGTTCAGTGACTGATGTAACTCAGGAAGGAAATATCCTTACAAAGTATTAGCAGAAACAAGAGTAACCTGAGACCTTTCAGTACATAATCACAGCTTTATATAATGTATGTTTTAATATGTAATAAATACATAACACAGTATTTTACAAGAATTGGCAGAGTGAGACTTCTCAAAGGAAAGAAAATGATAATGTTCACTTCTGTCCAGTTATCTACCAAAAATAATATTGACTAGATACAATGACTTCTTTGTAGAAGTTCCTGGAAGTGATTTATTCAAGAACATCTATGTTTTGCTCTTGGTCTGTCACATGTTCATAAGAAAGCTTAAACTGATACTGCTAAACCTAAATTACAGCATACACTACATTGATGCATCTTAAATTCAACTGCATAGATTTTTACCAGATAAAAATATTTAATACAGCAATATTCTTACTTAATGAGAAAGAATGATTTATTCATTATCTTGATAAAAAAAGATTTGGACAGCCATGGAACTAGAAAGAAAAAGTCAAGCCAGTGTCACTAAGGACTATGGAAAACAGTGGAGAATACTATTAGGTACAAATTGTTTACTCAGGTAGCACATGGCATTTCATGGGTAGTCATCATGTGATATTGATGAATATTTGCAATCTAGGCAAGCTACAATCACAACAATTTTTGAAATAATTCTGTACAGGAATTAATTTAGTGAAACGGAATTTATATAACTTAAGCACACTTTTTGAAAAGTCATTTATTTGTCACATTTATCACCAATATTGTGATCTACTGAGCCATACTGAGGCCACACCTGGAGTGCTGTGCCTGGTTCTGGGCACCTCAGCACAGGAGAGACATGGAGATGCTGGAGCACGTCAAGCAGTGGGCAACAAAAGGTCACGAGGGGACTGAAGCACCTCTCTTACGAGGAAAGGCTGAGGGAGCTGGGCCTGTGCAGCCTGGAGAGAAGACAACTGACAGTATAAGTATGTCAAGGGAGGGTGTTAAGAGGAGGTTTCCAGGCTCTTCTCAGTGGTGCCAAGCAATAGGACAAGAGGCAATGGGTGGAAACAGGTGCACAAGAAGTTCCACCTGAATATTAGGGAGAACTCTACTGTGCAGGTGACTGAGCACTGGAATATTAAGATATTAAGGAATAATCTGGACACTGTCCTGTTCCATGTGCTCTAGGATGACCCTGCTTGAACATAGAGGTTGGACCAGGTAACCCACTGTGGTTCCTTGCAACCTGACCCATTTTGCGTTTCTGTAATTTAAAATAAAAGAGAAGTATTGAAGGAATAATTTTACCCACCCTTTTATTTAACAGACATTACAATAATGTAGAATATGCACACCTCCACTTCAAGTTCTGAATTTTTTCAGTAAAAAGCAGCTTTTGATTACCTAAGAGGGGGAGTGAATAGTTCCTAAGTGTGACCCCTAGTGGCTGTAGAGACCAGCTGCAGCCTGGGGAAAGTTTCTCAAGTAAATAGAAAATAGTAACACATTGTTAAATTAGCACTGGGATTTAGAAACAAAAGGAAAAGGTGACTAAAAATAGCAAGCAATGATCTTGCGCTAAACAAATAAACTGAATTAAATTATTCCCTGCTTTACCTTCCATTGATTACATAGGGAAAGGTAATATGCAATCCATAGCATATCTGTCAAGCATGAACTTTTAAAATGAAATTTCCATTATATAATATATTACAAAGGTCTTGTCCACAGTGAGTTGGGTCCTATGTTTAAACACAGTTTCTGGCACAATCAAGCATTCCAACATTTCCCAGCACCAAATCACAAATGTAATGGATGCTGAATGCAGAATTATATCATCCTTACATTATACACTCCAAGTCTTGCTGCACATGCTGCAATTTCCAAGGAAAACTTTGACCAATACATTAAATAAAACAAATGTGCACTTAAGCAAAGAGGAGTCAACACTGGCTTCTTTTCAGAGTTTAATCAACAACTTCTTTAAAAAAAAAGTTCCACTTAAGCAACAGTGCTTAAAAAATGGTCAGCAAACTACTGGAAAAAAAAGCCCTTTAGTTATTTTGCTTTAATGTTTAAATTAAAATCATAAACCTAGAAGTGATTATAGTGGTAATAAAATTTTTGCTTTTATTCTTATTTAACTATTTACTATTGTACATTATAAAATACCAACAGAGAGCAATATCCTCTACCACCCATTATACAATGTGGGTATAGAGGTGAAATGGAGGGCATTTTTCAAGCTGTCAGTGATCTGTAATATCTGAAAGAAACACCCTGAGGACATGTGCTGTTGTAAAACATGTGCTGTGTTTTCATGGCTCTAGATTTTTTAATTAAATGCTACATATATTTTGTTTGCAAGAAGGATGGTAAAAAAAATCAATAAAGAAAAACTCCTAAAAAGTTATAATTGCTACTTTTTTTAAGTTGAAAGAAAACAAAAACAAAAGGAGCTCCTTTTTAAAGACTGAGAAGGAGTTTTTCTTTTTTTTATTTTCCAAAGTAACAGGAAAGCTCTTTTCATATATATTAGGGATTTGTAACTTTGCACAAATGCTGTTATAGTGTATGACTAAAATGGAAAAAAGTTATTATAGAGCAGTCAGCATTTCATATTTAGTGATACACTGCAACAATATCTTTCATTTAATGTTATAATTTTTTTAAAAAGTAAACCAAAAATAATCCCAGATATAGAGATACTCCAAGGTACCTGGTAAAAGTATTAATCCCTGGATGAAATTGTAGCATATTGATAGATACTTAGTAAGGAGTGGATTGTGATTTTATTAGTAACCAGCTACATCAAAACTTCGGTTAAGTTATTTAGATGGCTTTACTTTTTTACTTTCTGAACAGGGTTTTTGCTTTCCTTTCATTCCTGAATCTCACAGGGACTATTTAAATCTAAATGAAAATGCTACATGAAACACCACTTTCCAGCAACTGCAGAGACCACTTACTATTGCACTGTGAGCAAACTACACCCTCCTACCGCTTTTTCAGTACATGAAAGGACTTAACAACTAATATTTGCCTGAAACAAAAGGTAAACAAGGCAAAAAACCCATGCTCATGAGAGAATACAAGACATTCACAAATGTGCTGCTGGTGTATTTCTGTCTCTACAGAGCACACCCACGTTGGGGCTGTGGAGGGCACCACGCTTGTCACTGTGGCTGGCTCTCCCAGGGCTGCTGGAGCCCGCTGCCCACGGCTGTAAGGGATCGCAGATGCTCACAAACTGATTGTGTCTCACCCAGCAATGTTTGGCCTTAATTAAAGCTCTCTGTTTACTTGACAATCCCAGTTGTAAGAACACTGCCTAAAACTTTGTCTTCATCAGCTGTTCCTCACGAAACAGATGGTCAGGACTGAGAATTTTGATCTCTGTTTCCAAGGATGCCACAAAGGCCTGACCCAAATCTAGCAAGAGTACAGCATCATTTACTTATCTAAATTAAACTCAGTCTGAGCCAAATAACCTCTAACCAAAGTTCAGCTTCAGCAATTCAGAGCTGAATCCAAGTTTTGGTGCTTTCCCTGTGATAGGAGCAACAGCAACTTGGGATGCTGCAGGTACCTTAATTTTAAACTACACTTATACATATTTACTTACAAAAAAGACTACTCAGAGAAAATACCCTCGCCATAAAATCTAGGCAAGCACCATATTAACCTTTGGTTTTAAACAAATATAGTTTGTTCTCCACAAATCTTTGTGGGAATGAATATTAACCTGAAGGAAATGTCTCCATTTAGTTACAGCCCTTTGCATGGAAAGCAAGTGCAACTCAGATGTAGAAAGGAATCAAATGTCTGTTGAGAGCCCCATGTCACCTCCAGTTTAAAGCAAGGATGAAGCTACATTGGCCAGTTACCAGCATTAGAGAGATTAAAATGAATAAACAAACTCAACTCACCTGAAAAATTTAGTCTTACCACAACACAGGCCTAAGGTATGGAACCTAACGTAAGGTTTAACACTGAAAAAGCTTACAAAAAAACACGTGTATGTAAACTGAGGAAATGGTATTGGTGCATTTTGTCTAACAAAATGTGAAACATACTACTCAAAAATGTCAAGTATTGCAGGGGTGCTTGTCTTTTGTCCACAGATACATAAATAAACCTCTACAAGGTTTTACTGAAACAGTGATCTAGTGCACTATGCAATCAGGATAACGTGTATACAAAAAAAAAGTTTTAAATTACAATCAAATTTGAGAAAGTAATCCTGCAATTTTTCACCGCCCAAAGACAAACCTAGAATCTGATGTATAAAGAGCCAGCTCAGACAGTAATTGCTTGGTGATAATGGTGTTGGGTGTCCAGGCCTCATACATGTTCTACCAAATGTATTTCACATATACTCTTACATAAATCTCTGCTTAATTTGGTCTCACTTCAAACTGAAAACATCATAACTAGATTTCCAATGTATAGATCTCAGTCCATGTTAAACAAAGGTGAATAGCATTAAATAACAGGAAATTATTTAAATCTTGCATCAGAATAAGAAGAGCTTTCAAAGCTCCTCAAGATATTCTGGCTTAGTCTCTGTGTGACATGCTTGTGTGCATGACACAAGGCAGCTCTCCTACTGACACATGTGCAAAACTGCCAGCAATATAATACTGACAAACAAGACAGTACTGGTCGAAAAAGCAGAACAGTTTTTAGCTGCTCAACACACAGAGGATGATCATAACTTTTTAAAATTACTCATGAGTGATTATGAGTCACTGAAAGGCAGTTCCTTTGGAACAATACATTTGTAAACAAAATTGTCCTTCAGTTTGGTCCCGACAGCTCTTCTTTAGCTACAGTTATGTACAGGAAAAACAAGAACAGCAGTGACAGAATATCAAAGTGATGTATTTGCACACAACAAAGAGAATAACTCAGAAGGTACCTGGTAACACAAAGTAAGAAATGCTTTCTTACCTGCTTTATCCCACAATAATTTGCTATGCTGTATACCAGCTCTGACATCACCTGCACTTCATGTGATTTCTTATTATTCATAAACTCATCTGGTTTGATACCTGTATCAGATTAGGAAAATTAATACACATTACCACAACCTGTAATAATACGGATTTGTGATCAATCAGGAAAAAAAAGCGCTAATATGTACTTCACTGTTTATATATTTTCAGGGTAGTAATTTTTAATTAAAAACTCACTAAATGATTACAAGAGTAAACTTCTGAAGTATGGATGAGTTAGCAACATTCAACACCCTGTAAAACTCAGTTTCTTTAAGATGTAGCATATTTAATACCTGACCAGATATTAGACAATGGCTACAACTATAAAACTGTACTATTTCTTCCTTTTTATTGAAAAATATTTATTTTTGTCTCATTTATCACATTTACATTTCCATGAATGAAATATAAGGGCAGGGACAATAAATAATCACGTTGTACAGCTTGTTAATACTGCAGATTTGCTGAGAGTACCAAGAGGGAGATACCTCTGCTAAAAGCTACGAGCGATCCTGGGAAAATTCAGAGGAAGATTCACTTTCCTATTCTTTATTTACCCTATGGATTGGTTACAGAAGTGTTACACCTTTATGGCAGAAAATCACTCATTTCAGTGTTGCTGGAGAATGTGTTAATGAGATGGAGTCAACCTCCACCATGGGTTAACTGCTTGTGGAGAACACCAAGCACTCACTTGCTAACCTCTGTGCCACCCAGCCAAAGCAGGAGCTCAGAAATCACTCCCCTGGGAAAAACCCACATTTCTCTTAGGGATCCAATGCTGCAGTACACTTGGATCTAGTTAAATTGATGGTAAGTCTGAGTGATGGTAGAAGAAACTGGATCATCACTGATGAGCATGCTCCTAGAAAACAGGACTTTTCTACATGACTAGGCAGATTAATATACTTTCCCATTTTCTGCTTCATGCACAGTATGTATTCATCTGTCCAGAAACTGATCATTAGGCAAAAACCATGTTCATTTCGTGATCAGATCATGCTGGGAGCAGAGCCAAGTGTGTTACTTCTTTAAAAGAGAGTGGGGAATTGAACTGAGCTCATAAGAAACCCAGCATTTTCTCTATTTTTCCCAAACCCCAAGGGATCTGTCTATTTCTTAAACATGTGGGGTTTTGATAATAAACTGTTATGACAATACTTAAAATCTAATATAGACTCCATGAACTGACAAAAGGAAAAACAGACTAAAAGACTTAATACAAATAGCAGAAACAAGTGTTTGTCATCTCATTGAAGAATTTCCTTAACTTTAAAATTGTTAAGGGCTATATAGCATCCTAAAAAGCTCTTAATTTGTAAGCATATCAGGTTACAGAAAAACAGACAGGAAAAAAAATATAAAAAGAAAAGAAGTCTCTCTTTTTGTTTATGTTTGAACATTTTTGTGTCTGGATAGGCTCATCACAAAAAGCAGCAGAATTGGAAGGAGAAGAAACAGACATTTAACTTCTCAACAGAAATAAAAGGTGTTTTTTCTCCAAAGCAACACTGTCACTTTGGACGATGACCACATACTGCACCTTTATTCTGTTCTCTATCATGAAGTCAAAAGACTGAATGGGGTAATGCTAGGTAAGTACTATGTCACAGAGTACTTAATCCAAATTAAGCATTACAAACATGGTAGAAATCCAGAACAATTACCTAACTTACAAGAGCTGAGGTTCCAGATAGAAAAGGCATAATTTGTTTATAGCTATAGATATGGTTTATTTATCACCATAGCTACAAAAGCTTCTTAAGCATTTTTTTACTTCTTTCCTTGCTTTCTGCAGGATTACACACTGTTTATATTTCAGCTCAGGGAAAACAAAACTTTTTAGAGAAAATTACGGTTTTTAAAATAAATTTTATTTTTCCTGCTTTTTATGCAAAATTCTGATAGGTTTTTATATTATTCTGAAAAACAAGCAGACATTACAAACTAATGCAAACAAAAACAGACTGTCCCGGACAACTGAAAGTTTGAATTAAAAAAAAAATAGTAGTTTGACTCAAACTGTGTAAATTCTTTCTGCTATCACAAAATTACTTTCTTGAAACAAATAATTACACATGTACATTTCCTTATTATGTACAACTGATGCAGGCAGAACAAATACTAATTTCAAGAAACATCAGAAATTTAGAGAACCATTTCCCTTTGTGATGAAAAAAAGATAGTGTGGTTTCAAATACTTTACAGAAGCAGCTTGGATATGAGTAACAGAAAGCTTCATGTTACTAGTTTTAGTTGGTAATGAAATGCTGCTTATTTCCATTGGGAATCCCTAGCATGAGTACCTGTATTCCATTTGAAGAGCTGCTTTAACTCTGTAGTGCTGTTTACAGCTACATCTTTAGTTGTGAAGCTGAGCAAATTGAGGAGAGACTGTTTTTTATATACACCTAACACAGATGTTTTTAAGATCTCCTATGGCAAGGTGCAGGGGTTTTATATCCCAGAGACATGTGGAAATTCAGATACACAGATAAAGAAGTACAAATCCATAGTCCACACCACACAACACCATCTATACAGAAGTTTCCTAGGGTGATTTCACTCCACGATCCAGAGTCAGGAACTGGACTGACCATATAGTCAAAAAAACCCTTCTGAGGAGAGTGATATTCTAGCACATGGAATTTAGAGATGAATTCATTAGTATTCACTGCATGGCATGAGTATTACCTTGGCCATAAACACACTGCAAAGGTGGAGTACTCTCAATGCAACTCTCACTTCTGGGTGGTTACAAAGCAAAGGGAACACACTTCAGACTCAGAACTCCATTCTGACTAGCTAGGTCCACAACATGCTTAAAACGTTTGTGCTTCCCAGTTATTCCCAGGAAGGACAGCAATATCTACATTAAAATTGCAAAGCAGCTGAAGAACTATGTAAGTATGTAAACTGTGGGAATAGGCTCAAAAGTCTGATTGTCTTAGAAGAAGAAAACATACTAAAAACATCTGAAACATAAATGGAATTATCCTGATGCATATTTCTCAGAATATAAGCAACACCATCATAAAGTTGCCAGTTTTCTCAGATTTACATTTCTTTCAACTTGCAAGCTTCAGCATGTCAGGGAACAAACATATCTTCTGAAATATAAAAATTAGTTCAAAATATCTAAAACAGGTCAAAGATCACAACTTTCATTTGGCAACTTGCACATTATGAATCAATAAATTGGTATTTTGCCTCTGCCAAATGATGTGCAGTAACTTCAATTAAGTTAATTTAACTGATATTTACTGCCAATTCAGCACAAAGGTTCTGAATTATAATTCTATTGTACACATTTGGAACACATTTTATTTTTCCCAAGAAGTACAACTCAGAAATACTGCAAAAATACAAACCCAGGCCCCAATTACCCAACCAAGCATCACTCCTGCCACACAGAAAACAAAATATTCAGCAATTGCCTTATTCCTGATGCTCCATTCTGCATGACAAGAAGATGAAAGAATCCTCAAAGTTTTGGCTAAGAAAGTTAATCCAGGTATGAACTCAAGTATAAGAAGTATAAGAAGAACTAGAGAAATATAGAAAATTAAGAGGAACATGGGGAATGAGATATAGTAAAAATGAAAATAGCTAAAAAGCTAGTGGGAAAGAAAAGCAGCATACAGTTGTCAAGGAAGAAAAAAGGATTTCTGATGCACTAAGGGCATAAGGAAAGAAGCCAGAAAGCAAGAGGAGTGCACTACAAATCATTAGGAGTATCTCAGCAATGGCATTCTAGTACCTGAGGAGCCTACCATGAAAAATGGCAAAATTGGAAAGAGATCACTGTAGAAAATGGGAGAGATGCACAACATTTGTATAATGGTGCTATCACTTAGGATAAGAAATGTCAGGATGCACCCCAGAGATAAAAGGCACTAGAAGGCAAAGGCAGACAGCTGCTCAGAGTGTCTCTTAAAAACTAATGAGAAATTTCAAAATATAGCGAGGCTGAGGACTCCATGAATAGTACATTTGCAGTGAAAATGACAGCAGTCCAAGTAAGGATAAATGTCAGTTTATCATCTGATTCAAAAATTATAATCAGGGTAAGATTCTCAGTGTCCAACTTGATGCCACTTTAAGACTGTTTTAATTCAATTTCTTTAACTACAGAAAATTAAATTACTCTTCTTTTATCACATATAATTGGTATTAGTTGCAAAAATGCAGAATTAATAAAATCTTTTTTTTCTAAGACATCATATATTTGCAATATTTTAGGGTGATACTTCTAAGAAAAGCATGAATAGCAACTATGATTCTTGCCACTTGGGCACAAGACAGACAAACAGAATTAACAAGGTATCTCATAGTGATGCACCCCCTTCTCTGTCCCATCCCCTTTAAAACTGAATCCCATGATGGGTCTATAGACAACAAATGCTCAAATTTTAGCAAGACAATCCATTTCATAAGCAAAGGCAATAAAGAAACTATCCAAGAATAAATGAAAATGGAAGTGAGGATCACATAGGAAAAAATCCTCAAACAACAAACTACTCTCCAAAACCAAAACTCTTTTATAGTCCTATAGTGAATAAGTAAACAGTAAAATACAAATGTAAATATACCTGTCGCTCCTTCACTGTCTCCTTTCAGTGCTTCAAGCACATCTTCTAATGGGGTGCACATTCCAAGGCTGGACAAAGAATAATACTTAGCAGCCAGGGCAAACAAATGTACATTGATAAGCTTCTCAGAGTTTTCACAAAATGCACTGGAAAAGATGTCATCATCTGCACACAAAAGAAAAGGAAAATATTATTGTAAGCGGTGCTTAACAGCTCTCTAATACTGCTGACAGAGAACTACAGGTAATAAATACTTAGTATCACATACAACTGGCCGTTTATCTTGCTTCCGTAAGTGGGAAAACTCATTATTCTTCTTCAGCTGTATTCCCCCTCCAGAACTGAGGTCAAATTTTGCTCTTAGTTGAACCAGTGTAAATGTGACAAAATCTGTTGTTTCAGCAGACCTACTTCAGTATAATTGACAAGCTAATTCAGTCAACATTATCACCTCTCTTCTGTTTACAGCCTTGCTCATTACACATGTCCCAGTCAGCCCAACCCGCCAATATATGCTGCTAGATTTTTGTAAAGGAATGCAGCTGCTTAGTATATGAAATGTTTGGATTCACAGTCACTCAATTCAGTACTTTCCAAGCTGCTTTGTGACTGATGAATACTGGGAGAATTAAATTCATTTTTATTTCCAATCAGGTGTAGGCCAAAGTTAGATTCCAATGTGTATTTTGTTAGTCATGATGAAATACTTCATTTTGATATTGCTTAGTACTGAGTTTCAAAAATGTACATCTATTTTTAAGTGAAACATATTAGTATGAATAATTTATTAATTCCAAGACTGTTTTGAATTGTCCAATTCCACACTATGTTACCAAAAACTATTTGTGAATTCTACATAGTTTGCTAAGAATTTTTATATATTTGTAATTATTTTCAATATACAATATGCAACCAGTCCAGCAATCAGACCGCTACATAAATTTGGAAAAAGTCTCCTGGTTTGTTTTTGTGTCCTAGGTAGGTTTTGAGGAAGTACATACCCAGCACAGTGGCTTTCCTGAATCTGGCATGACAATGGATACAGTTCTAATGTTCTTAATTTCCTTGCATGACCTCAATTAAAGGTCATGCATATATTACAGTCCATTGAAAACAGTCCCAAACCACGTTAATTTTCATGATATGACACTACAAAGACACAAGCACAGCAAACAAATTTTGCATCTAAGAAAGCATAAATATTGTCTAAGCTATGACTAGAATTAACATATTTTGTTGTCTGCACAGCACTTCTTACTCCTCTCTGCTACAATACCTAAAAAAAAGCCACATTGCTCCATAAACAACTTCCTTGTCTTAACAACATTTTAGTTAGCGTGGTCATGAAGGGTAAGATTGTAACAGGGTATTAGAGAGGAGAAATAAAGACTGAAGCTTTCAGGAAGAAGGGGCAACTGTGCTTTGCAATGCCTCTTCTGTAAGATTTATTACAGAAAGGTAAGCAAATAGATGTGCTTTCACTTTTTCAGCAGCTGATATAAAATATAATTACTGTTCTTACAAATCTCACTTTAATGAAATCCAGTGCAGCAATGCCCATATTCTATAACATTCCTTAACTTGGTTATTTGGTGGAAGAACATGATAGAACTAGTAGAACCTCATACAAGATCACCCTTAGTAACACTCCCACCAAACTTAAATTGTTGTCCCAGCTTGACAATTAAAAAACAGGAACCAACTGCATTAAGCATCTGAAGCCTAACTTCAAGCTACAGAAAGGCAGTTGGTGAACTTTACATTATTTATGAATATTAAAAATGTTAGATTTTTGGACACGTTTCTACTCTGGATGCCCACAAGAGGAAATCTAGCTTGTCTTTAAACCAGTCAATCTATGCATTTGCAAACAAATCTTGAGAGGAAAGAAAGATATGCCCCAAAGTTGGAATCACAGTACAAACAGCAATTTACAGTAAAATATGAAAATACTTAAACACAGATTTGTCTGTACCTGTGTCCCATTTACAGCAATGATGTGATAAACAAAATGCAATACTGCAAGTGTCAGCTTTTTCATGTATTCAAACCAGTTTCTGAACCTACAAAGGGATTTTACATTTTTCTGCAGGGTACAAGTGAAAGCAAGGGTTCCATCCTTCACATGGTCATTATAAGAAAATGACTTTGAACAAGGAAGAGTAATTTCTGTTTATGTTGGGTTTCAAGATCTTTAATGGTCATTTTCTGATCCCTAATGTTATTGAGTTGCACTAATGCATTCAGATAAGCTGTGATACTACATTCCTCTCTCTGTCTCTCCTAATTTTAATACAGGCTAGCAGTGCATTAATTTGTAAATGTAAGCAGATGTTTGCAGGTACCGTCACTGAAAAAGTCATATTCTACTACAAAGTATTTTTCATCATATAACTGGATGGACTGATACCATACAGACAAATGAGTAAGGCATGAAGCAACAAACCAATGCCCACTCCACTACAGAGCATTCTGTTAAACAGCATACCAGAATTTGAAAGTCAGAAAAAAGGGGCAATTCTTCCTTTTTAAATTTTAATTAGCAGAAACAATTTCTGCAGAAACCAAAGAAGAAATATTGTATTTTAGCCACAGCATGAAGGCTTCATACTCTTCAAAAGACGTGCTTAATTTTAGACATAAATTGTCTTTTTGTTACAGTAATTTCTCCATCAGATTCTGTAACATGCATGTTGAATGCAAATTATTAAATTATTATCTGATTTTGAATTCTACAAAACAATTCTCTGCCCTCCTGATTCTCATGCTACTCCACAGGCCATCACTTCGGTGTTTGAATCATGGACTTTCCCATAGAAACAGGTTAGATCAGAATAATTTTCCTTTACTGATTGCATCTGATAATTAGTTTTGTTCCAGCCTCTAATTACATTCAATTTTATGTCCTGCTGCTCTAAATCAGTTCTGACTCTGACATTACCTGTCAAGAGCATTAAGCCTGTCCTCGCTGCTTCCCAACACTTTTGCTGGTTGACCAGACCACTGTCTTGTTTCCATCTGGCTCTCAAAGGTAATTCATAATCCAGTGTCTTTTCCATGCACAAATAAACTCTGTGGGATCTTTCCCAAACAACTCAACCCTTCAAAAATTAGTCTTACAGTTAATATTTTGAGGTCTTCAGATCCAACAGAGACATGTTGCTAGTGATGTAGCAATTCACAGCTCTTCAATCTCTTTGAGTCCAAATCATTATCTTAGCTTGTCTTCTATGCCAAAAAGCACATGCTACTTTCTGTGGAGCCTTCTCTTACACTCCACACACTTTCCTGCCTCGAGTGCCATTTAACATAGGATTTCAGAGCTAATGCAATGTGACAGCTATCTACACTCCATATGCTTTGGCACGACACTGCCTTTTCTCAGCTAAGTGCTTTGTCAGAGATTTCACCTTGGATTTGAAAATGATCTCTGCTTGGGCTCAGTCCCCCCAAACACCACAGCTTTCAGATGCTTTATCTTCATTTCTGTGCCCTGCCTGAAGGAGCATTACTGGTACGCTTCCCTCCTACTTGGACTCCAGCACTTTCAGCAACACAGCAGCCCCGCTGGCTTCCTCTTCAGATACGTGAAAATTACTAAAAATATGAAGTGTTTCTTAAACAGATCTCGTCAGAAATAAAGCAGCTGCTTTCCCAGCAGCGCCAGACACGCTGACTCTTACAGACACAGCGGAAAGCGGTGTTTCAGCCTCTTCCAGCTGCCCTCCGCATCTCCAGTTCCACACTCTTTGACATCTTTCCACTCGTGGAGGTTTCTTGTATGTTTTGTTTGATTTGGGGTTTTTGTCATTTTAATTGTGTTCTTCAGGGGTCAGTGAGAGTGAAGGAATCTGACAGTTCGGAGTTTCGCTTCCGCACGGACAGGATGAAATAGACGGCGGGAGAGCACCGCCAGGAGCGGCACTACCGCGACCCCGGCGGCGGAAGGCACTCCCACCCGGCCGCGCTCCCTGCGAAGCGGGGCGGGTCCGAACGCGTCCCGCTGTCCCGTCCTGTCCTGTCTCGCTGTCCTGTCCCATCCTGTCCCGCTGTCCCGTCCCGGCGGCCGCGACATGGCCCCGCGCGCGGCCCGTCGGCGCCGCGGCGCACCTCGGTTACGTCATCTCTGTGCGCGGCGTCGGAAGCGCGATGATGGCGGCGGCGAGGCGTGATGGGCCCGGGGCGGCGGCGGCCCGCGGGCCCGGCCGAAAGCGGCGGTGGAGGCCCGTCCTGCTGCGCAGTGTTGTCGGCAGCGTCCAGGAGGGTGAGTCGGGGCCGCCGCTGGGCCTGACGGGGCGCCGATGGAGGCCCGGCTCCCCGGCCCAGCTGCGAGCTGGCCCGACCCGAGCGTCCCGGCTGGGGCCGGGCCCGGCGCGGGGTTTGGGCTGGCGGAGCCCGCAGCCCCGCCTCGCCCCCGCTGCTCGTGGCCGTGGACTCGGGGCTGCTGGGGTGGCCTGTGTGACCTGGAGCTCCCCGGGACTCGGGATTGCAGCCCCTGGGCCGCGTGGCGATGGTTTTCGGGTTTAGGACTCGCTTTGAGTTTCATCCGTAGAAAAGCGAACATTTAAAAAGCAGCATGTTTGAGGAGAGGTTTAGATTATTGATAGGCAGTTATACACATGTAAAAATGAATAGGAAAAAAAGCATGGGCTGCAGCTGAAGTGGCAGCTTTGGAGGAAGAATAAAAGGAAAAGTTTGAACTAATTTGACTTCTGTTTTGAAACTGTTTTGTTAGTGAATATTATGAAAGTCAGTAGATCTTAAGACTAATGCAGTAAAAAAATAAGGCTTTTGGAAAAAAGCATCTTCGACTTTGATAAGTTTTCTTTAATGGTCGAGGCTGGAACATCCAATGTCTGAGCTTTCCTTTAAGCAGAAATGATTCTATGATGTAGCTGTGGAAAAGCTCTTCCTGGACACGTGTAAGGAAAAAGTAGTAGCAATAAATACTATTTAGGTGAAAAGACATAGTGGATCATTAATGGAGACTGATAGGATGTTTTAGTGACTTTTCTCTGTCCCAGCTGCTGCACACTTCTGCTGCCAGAGTTATTAGCAGTGTTTCTTGAGACTGCCTTTAGGAGCTGATTTTAGAATCTATTTTCATGTTGCTGTAGAAGCTGTCAAAAGTAGGAGTGAAGTGAAATGGTAACACATCTTTTCACAGGATTCAAAAAGCATTGGCAGTGGTGAGTGGGCATTAAGTGTTTGCAGTGCTCTCCTGGGGGTTTGGGCAGCAATTTCCAGTCAATCTGTGCAAGCTGCAGTAGGGAACAACCTAGTCATAGTGGTTCTTTCCTTGAACTTATGGCTGTCCCTGTTGAAATTGCCACACGTAGTGGCTTTTTTCAGTTTGGGAAGAAAACAGATGAAGGGGTCCTGACAAGAGTTGAGTGGTTTGGTGCTGTTGTAGTGCAGGTGTGCTGACCTGCCTTCTTCTTGTGCTTTCAGGACGAGGATTTGCCTTTCGGAGGAAACAAAAGATTGAACGGCAGTACAGGAAGTTACTGAAAAAGAGAAGCCAAGTACATTCCCAACAGGTGGATCAGTTTACAGATACCTACCCAGAGCACTTGAAACATCTTTACCTTGCAGAGGAAGAGAAGCTTAAGAAGAGGCGCAGGACTCCAGATGATTCGGTGTCAGCAGAAGAAAAACTTCCTCAAGCAGCAGAGTAAGTTTTACAGCATGTCTTCAAAAAAAGTAGTTCTTTCCATCACTAAAAAAATATTTTATGTCTTAACAGCTTGCATGAACTTTAGTGTGGTGATTTCCTTTGCTAAAAATGCTCCTATGTCTTAAATATTTTTCTTGCTTGCTAGAAAAATAAATGGCAGTATAATGGTTTTGTACTTGAGGCAGTGAGGTGTCACTGCACAGTATTGCCACCAGATGGAGATGAGAATAAAGGAAAAATTTTCTGTTTTTTTCCATAAGAGAGTGGTATTTCTAAATGAACATTCTCATCTCTCTGCAGTTGCTTCCATGTGTTGGAACTAGAAAAAGAAAAATGCAGACCTAAACTAGCATGTTCAGGCTTTCTAACTCTGAGCAGCTTGAATTATGGGGAAAACTCTTTTAGGCAGTCTTTAAGCGTAAGGAAACATCATCCTTGTGAAGATACAGCAGATAAGGTGTATGCATTACTTACAGTTGTGTGCATTCTGGTCTTTGGTACATTTGGCATTGAAGAAGTTTAGTTTGTTAATGTTTTCTTGCTGACTGCTCCTGTATGGCCTGGCATGGTGTTGGTATCAGGTAAGAGTGGTTCACACAATCCATTCAGTGTAGAAGGATGAGTGTTCTGAAACCTGTATTTGTAGTTGACTTCACTGACAAAAGCAGTGGAAGACTGCTGTGATTCTGCAGTGGCTGTGGTGTCTATGTTCGTGTCTGCTTGATGATACTTAGTGCCTCAAAAACGTGTACTTTTTCCTCCAGGTCAGCTGGGACTCGAGAGAAGTTTAAAAATAAAACATCCAATCAGAAGGCAAAAGAAGAGTATGAGAAAATAAAGGCTGAGCATGCTAGAAAGAAAGAGGTAAATCTTAAACACAGTTCTCTCTTGATTTTAAACAAAATCTAGATTAATACAATTTCCACCTCTCAGTCCTCCATCTGAACCCAGGGAAGACCATAGGACGTATTGGAACTCCCTCTTTCAGTCTTTTTAACTCGACAGTGGTATTCAGGCACCCAAGCATTCAAAAGATCATTCTCTTTGTTCTTAGTATTTTTATCTTGCTGTTGCCCATAGCAGGATTTCATTATGTCAGTTGGTACATGAAGAAAAGCTTAGAGCTTGATCTGCATACCCCAGTGGATTATATTAGACCTCTTAAATTTTGTAGAAGGGGAAGTAATAGCAATATAATCATCTTGTGATGAAAAATTAAATACCCATCCTGTTTCTTATGGCATTATCATAATGTAGTCTTCATTTTACTTTCTTATGTACTTTGACCAACAATGAAACAATTAAATTTAATAGTATCCACAGTCAAAATTTTTTGTCATTCCCTTCATTTGAGTTTAATTTTAATTATTTTATTGGAATTATTACAGGACATATTGTAATATCATCATTGTCGATCAGCTCACTTGAATTATTAATTTGGGAGGTCCTTATTTAAGTAGTTTTTTTCTCTCCCAGGACATTGTTCCTTGTACTGTAGAATGGCTCACAGTGTAGCATTGTAGATGATGTGTAACTTCCTGGTGGCATACTAAATTTCAGTAGCTACTGTATAAATATTAAACATATAGCTGTATAAAACATACTATTTCTTCTGTTCAGCTATATTTAGTTTTACACAAGCTGATCTGTGATTTTGGTGAGTTACATGGTTATTCAGCTGATGGCTGTTTTGTTCACATATCAGCTACAGATTGTATCAAAAGAAATTAATGTTATAACCAGCTTATGTAGAGAAGATGGGAACAAGCAGAACCCCAGCAAGACTGCAGGGACTTCTCTTTGAGCAGCACATAGGAGTTGCCTGAGTGCAGATGTTGGCATTTTTAGTTTTCTTAAAGACAATTAGGCGAAACAGGAGCTAAGTGCCCCAATAACGGTAATCACTTAGGTGGAGTACTTAGGTGGAGCATGATGAAAAAGTAGGTACTTCATTGTCATGTGTTTTAGCAAACACTGGATTTGCTATTATTTGTCTTGGGAAGAGAGATAAGCCTAAAGACACAATTTTGGCCTCCTCAATGGCCTTTTTTGGCCTAAAAAAAGCTAGTATTTAGTAAAGATAAGAAAAAATATGAATGTAAGTAGCAACTGTCTAAGTAAGATGAATGTTCTTGCTTTGAAGTAAGTGTTTGGTTGGTAGCTTAACTGGATTTTGTGTACAAGAATATGCTGAACAGAAAAATTATTAGATACAAAGTGAATTACAGGTAAGTTAAAGCTGATGCTACTCTGTTTTTTAAAAAAGGAGGAATAAATTGTTTCAGTCATTAT